CTGCAGTTATCACTGCGGGTTGCGTATCCGCGCGAAATTGCTTTTCGCGACGCACGGTTGAATAAGGAAGTTTTCGACGCTCCAACGCCAGGAAGTTTTCGTTACGCGGTTGCCGAGGGTTTGGGGAACGAGGTAGCGATGAAAGTGTTAGATTCCGAGGGAAAGTTTTTTTTATTGCAACTACGCGATCGTCTAATTAATTTTTTTTTTTTTTGGTTTCGATGCTATCTGCGTGCCTCGATTAAGCGTAAAGTTTGCGATGGGAAAAAGAGGATTGAGTGATAAGGGTGTTGGAAAAGGCATTAAATTGTAGTTGAAATTGTTTCGTGTGTGTATTATAGCTCGGAGACTGGTTAACTAATTACTTTTTGTTTCTGATATTATTAGTGAGGCAAAAGAAGAATTGAGTAGCATGAAGGCGTTGAAAAACGTAGGTAAAGGGTGTTAAATTATTTTATGTTTGTATCAAAGTTTAGGGGAGAGAATATAGTCAATTATGAGTGATTGTTTAGTTACTGCGAGATAGTTGAATAAAATAAAATACCTCGAGGCCTGTTTATCAAAAATGCCTATTTGTAACAAAATATATACCGTTTCATTTAATAAACTAAAAGTCACCTTCATTTTTCTGAAACTGGTACAAATACGAAATATTTATATACCGATATACGAATATATATTATATATTTATAAACTCAGGTTTATGGAAGAATTATATTAATATTCATCGTGTTATATTGAGAAATAAGGTTGTAAGCCTACCGCGTAATATGGAAACCGCGTTATAGGAGAATTTGCTGTACTCAGGATTACGGTACGGTTGAGGTTTATGATGCGGGCGTGACTTCCTGGCTGGTTTCGAGATTAAGAATTTGTGTGCTCTTTCGCTTTGGCATTCTTCTGTTTATCCATTCGCGAATAGGGAAACTCTGAATCCCAATTAGGAATTCGACGGCTGGAACTTTCCTCGCGTTTCTTCTCGCTACCCCGGACGCCGACCATTCCGGGTCAGTTTCTCATAGCGATGCTGCTAACGGTAACGTGATCGATGAATAGTGATAGCACAGTTGATCCGCGAGGTCACCTTCTGAATTCCACGATCAATAATTTGATAATTAATGTATTATTCGGTCTTAGAGTGAAAGCAACGTGCAACTTCGTCCTGTTTCGTGATTGCAACATTGTATGAAAAATTTCCTCATATCAATCATGTTGATTAACTTCTTGAAGAGGATTTAAAATCGAGGTCGAAACGTTGAATATATTTCGATAAATCTGCAATTCGCTTTTGTTTTAAGGGTAAATGTTTGTGTTTAAGGGTAAAGGGTAAATTAGTTGAGCAATAGAGGAATATTATATTTTTTATTTCAATCCTTTGTAAATTAACTCTGACTGCGGAACGATTTCTATAAATCGCCTCATGGATACACCTCATGGATTATTGTAATTTTGAATAGAGTCTTAAATATTCTTCGCTTTAAATCACGTAGAGTTCACTTGGAAATATTGTAATCTTTGTACTTATCCTAAGTTTTTCACCATAAACGTCATTTTATCCGAACGCGTCCGAGTGAGATTAAAATGAACATTTCAGTAACGCTCGGACCAATAAATCCACAAAGTAAAAATACTTAACGTCCTTTATACTCGAAGTGCTTTGTACCATAAATATAACAACGGTACTTCTTTCTCATAAAAAAAAAAAAAAAAAAAAAAAAAAAATGAAGGATATTAAAATTGAAAAAACAAATATCTTTTGTTGAAAAAACAAGTATCTTTTACATTTCAGCGACACGAACAAACACAGCGGAACTCGTACTTTTGAAGTTTCTAGCTCGTGCGTTTAAAAGAAAACAGAATATACAAATAAAAGCTCACCGTATCATATAATGGCGCGGTTTCTTTCGAATGTTTTATTCACGATTCTCGCGCAAGTATCAACGAAAAACCAGACCTTTGTCCAATTACCGCAACAGAACGGAGAGGAAATCTCAAGAAACAATAGTTCTGTGGAAATAGAAAAAGACGAAGTTCCCGGTACGGGACTTGGTGCGCGGTTAACAGCGTTTCGCGACAAAGAAGGGGTTCCGCGAAACAATGCAGAAAACTCGATACCATGGTAAGTGATTCCATGTATCTGTAAGCGATAGCGGAGTTGGTAATACGAGCAAGTGGACGCTAAGTGGCGAACCAAACGTCATGAAAATGGCTGGAGGTATAGTGGTGCTGTTAACCGTAACGGTATCGATGTTTATGGATGGATCGAATGTGGCCTGAAACGGTTATTTAAAAGACGTGAAATTCGTTGCGAGCACGCGAGAATGCAAACCTTAAGCAGCGATGTGGGCACAGAGGTCAAGTGCTTGGGAAATTGCCAGAGGATCGATAGGATTTAGCGTGATGATTCGAGGAGACGGGCTCGCGATCTACAGAAAATGCATTAAATTATCCAGTATGTGGTAATGATAGAGTGATGGGCAGTCAGATAATTGTAGAAATTACGAGCTGGTTCTGACTGACGTGGTAATTGAAGGCTTCTTGTATAACGTTTCAATTGACGATTAAGTCTATCGAGGATCTTTAGTTTTAGAGTAAAGATTGACTCGATCGACTGCAGAGAAAGAAAATACTGTTTATTGTTCAAATTAAAATATGAAGATACGGAGGCCAAAAACTGAGCGTGATAGGCGTTTCTCGGTACGAGACGGTTGAAGTCCTCTTTAAATGCACAAATTTTTTACGATAAGTGCAAGCGGCAAGATTATAAAAAAATACTGAAAAATAGTTAAGCTGGATTTTCACTAAGAAGCTTTCAGTCATCTATGTGGAATGTCATCACTAAAAGCAACAGTAATAGCTCCATATTAATTATATCTAACTTGGTCCTCTTTCTTATTTTGTTGTACACAAAAAGGACGCAAAGGAAGGACCAGATGTCACATCTGGCGAACTGACTCATAATGCACCTGGATTACTTATGTAGTACTCGTACTTTTTTCTAGAATTTCTTCTAAACACACACACACACACACACACACACCTGGGCGTTAGGTAGAATTTCAAAAGGAAATATAAAAGCCTTGCTTTTACACAAATAAGCCAACCAAGATTCAAAGCTGTTCAGAGTTCACCTTTGACTTTATTTAATTTGCTAAGGTGGAGCTCCTTTTTCTCACTTGTTATTCCTTTCGGTCTAACGTTGCCCTTTGTTTGTATATCATTACGGGTAGGTAACAAATATTTAGCCTTCCATCTGAAATAATTTGATCGGGTACGTCGCAGGTAGAGGCAAACAAAAGTTCAAAGACATTCTGAAGTATTTGTACGCCAGTAATAAAGTACGGCACGATGTTGTCTGTTATTTTCATATAAGAGTTTGCAGATCATTTCTTATAAAGAAATAATATGTAATATAATATAATAAAGAAATTGGCTGATTCGGAGAAATATTTTAATCATTTGATTTTTAGTCATTTGATTAAACGAATCACTGATAATATTATTATTTATTTTATAATTTTAACAATTTGCGATATTTACTATTGGAATAAATTTGGCACTTTGCATTGATTCCAAAATCGTCGAAATGGAAAATAACATTTATTAAATTGTATTTATTTTTATATAAAAATAATCTTCTTCACACTCACTGTTTGAAGATAACCTAGACGCCCACAAAACAGTTTGTATTTCTTCTGTGTGAATGCGTAGTACATGTGTAGCCGCGCGAACAGCTGATCGGTTTAAACATCGCGCGCCGGAAGTCACACCTATAAATTTCAACCGTTTATAACTCGATAACGAAGAGTTCGCGAGAGATCGCAAAATGTTAAGGGACTTTTCGATTCGTACTAGTATGATGACTTGATCCTGAAAAAAGGTTCCACATATTTGTTAAAACCCTGTATAAATATTATATATATATATATATATATATATATATATGTATCTATATATATATATATATACTAAAAAGAAAAAAAAAATACATTAGTAATAAAGAAAACAGAATTTTAGTCATTTAATTTTGTTACTTTCACCAACACATCACATTTTATTTGCATTTGTACGTATTAAACATTTTCCGCATGAAACTGTTTATACTCGCCAGACGAGGTACGCGATTAATATTAAAATTTCGTCGATTTACAATTAATTCTCAAAAATATTGTAGTGCTACTTTAAAATTACGATGTTTTTCTACAGAATTTAATAAAAAAGAAAACATACAGTGTGTGTCTGTCTAACGTATCAGATGGTCGCCGGAGATTACACGCTTGCAAATGTAACATTGCGCGGTATTACAACGTGTTCCGTATGCAGGTTGCACAGCCGGATATCCTATCTGTAGTTTACGAGCACTTAAATCTTAAGAATGAAATAGCACGTGAAATTTTATGCCGCTGTCGTGCAACGAGTGTAGATAGGAATATTTTATTTTCCAATCCAAGTAGCTTTGCGTCGCGACACTTAACCGACACCTGTTACAGATACACGTTTCTATACTTTGATTTATCACGATAAATATGTTTTAGAAAAATGTATTCATGTTTCGAACGTACCGTTGCAAATTCATATTTCATGGATATTTGTTCACATTCGTTCTACTCTTTGACAGAATTTTCTAGTGAATCATTTTTGCGTTTAGTAGATAAGTGATTTGATAGCCTCGGTTGATAGCTTTGGAATATGTTCGAACCGAATGTTTTCTATCTGTATTTTTTTTATTGAATGAAGAGTAAGTGAACTAGTTAGATAATATCGCAGAATAAAGTATAAAGTGCATAATAAAAACGTTAATAAAATTAATAAAGTACATATATACAAGTTATCCATGCATGTTGATATATAACTGCAGTTCATTATCTGCGAAGGTTAATTTAACAAACAAAAATGGAGGTCAAACGATACTTCATTTCAATTTTTCTGTTTATTATTACAAAATCTCATTGATACAAACATCAATCAACATTAGCACAAATGTTTGTTTTTTGTTTCAGAATAAATTGCTCCCATCAGCCTTCGTGTAGGATTGAAACAGCATTATTAGGTAAGCGTTAAAGGTTCTATTTAGATGAAATCTTTCATTTTCTTGTTGAAATCCAGAAGATCGTCTTATACTTTTAAAATTGCGGTTCACGTTCATTCACATTCTGTATTTCACAGTTTTTTTTATCGACACTTACGTCTGAATAACGAGTTAGCGCGAATAGAACCTGCGTGGCAACGTGAGCCTATCCCTACTCTTGCCGCGACTCGGTCACGAGCAATTTTGTCGGCGCGCGACCATCAATTAGGACATAATAGGTAATAGCATTCATCAAAGTAGGCCAAATCTGGCGAAAAATAAGTAGCACGTGAGCCTGTTTCCGTGAGTGAGATTGTTTTTATATAAACCGTGCATGAAAATGGGACTTAGGGTGATGAACGAAGTTAGAATGGAGCGAGGAAAGAATATGGCGTTGTGTGTGTACTCGCGATCTAATTTCATATTTCATTTTTTATGTTAAATACATTATCATTTGCTAATTAAATGTGTGTCAATCCATCCTATCCCTCAGTTTCGTGGTTCATCAGTTGGACTCGATGCGAACAAAACGTGCCCCCGTCTAAAATCCTCGCAATCGCCTTACTTCGCGCGAGCATAGATTGTCACCAGCAAATTGTTTGTTAATTCCCGCAACCTAGTTAGCGTTTAGCGTTACGCCGCGGCGTATGATAAAACCGGCAATTACGTAGCCTGGGGTGCATAGTTGGCCTGAATGGGGGCCCAGCCGCGATAACAAAACTCGTCTGGACGAGGGATATTAATGCTCGCGCGAAGACGGCTTTAATAAGTCCGCGACGTAATGAAAACCATTCATATAAAAGTTTCCTCCGCGAGGTGACGCTTTAATTGAACGCGGCCGCGAAGAGGTCTCAACGGTAGCCACCAACCCCCTGCTTCTTTCTTATGCCGAGCTGTAACAAGATGTCAGAGATTACCCCGGCTCGCTTTCCCTCTTTCCTCGACGCCGCGTCTCTGTGCCCCCCCACCCACCGCGTTTCTCCACTCTTTTCTCGTCGCGAATCCGCCCATTACTTTTATGCCCCCACCCCCACCCTCTCGTGACTTTCATTAAAAATTTTCTGTTGGTCGAGCCGATGGAGCCGCTTCCTGAGAACGTTTCAATTGATATCGAGCCTACCATTCAATCGGGAACAAAGGGGAGAGAATCGTGGTCGGGAGCTTCATCGGCGAAATCGGGCCGACGGTTTTTCTTCCCTCTGCCGGCGCGGGACAGGGGGGGGGGGAGGCGAGGGGCCGCCGAGGTATTAAAGGATCCAGGCTTTCAGATTGAAGGTGTAAATGCGGGTTTGATGGGAAATTTCTGATGGCCAGCCACCGACAATGAGAGCCGTACTCGGCCAAAGTACGCCTTCGAGTTGAAGAGAAATAGTCTGGCTCTTGGTGCTCTGCGAGTCGCGTTTGTTGGATGCATATTGAACTCTTTCAACGCGTGGCTGTGGACGCTCTCGACGGGCGTCTGAGCCGTCGATTTTGGGTGTGTGGTGAAGCTCTTTTCTTTTCGGGATTCGGCGTGAAATTGAGGATATTCTCGTGCTCCCGGGAGAAGAGTGAATCGGTGACTTTGTATCGGTTTATGGGAAAAGTTTACGGGCCTCGCGCACAAGCAAGAGTTGGAGATATCGAAAATCAAGCGACAGCTGTTAATATTTAGCATGGTTATTTATTGCATTAATATCAATACTGCAAGTTTACTACAATTTTTTGTCATTTGTTCACTGACTTACTCGTTGACTTCGTTCTCCTTCGTTGGTTTGTGACGCGCTAAGAGCCAATTGTAACGGGCATTTTTTTCTTACCACGGTAAAGTCTCCTTGAATGCACAAATTTCTCTATGATAAATGCACAGAAAGCATTCCCACCACTGGCTGGTATACCCCTTGAGGGATCCAGGAGTTCGATCGCCGAGTAGTGTGACACGATCCGAGATCAGATATCTCGGTGAGACAATGCTAATACAACGACAAAACTCACCGAGACAAACTTGGTGTTTTCGGTCCGTCCCACGCTGTGGTATTTCAGCGATATAGCAGGACAAGCGGTTCCTTGATGTTGTCCCTGCTAATCTAAATCTAATTTCACTTTACACTTTACACCTTTTATATCTAAAGATCTTATTCCAAGTTCGCAGCCTTTGGCTGTTTCGGGTTCACTTCAGGTTTTCTTCGGAAGTAAATTAAATACATAATTCGTACGTTTAATCGACGATATGAAAACATAAAGTAAAGAATAGAATGATACAGTATGAAAATTAGAAAATTTAAAAGGATAAAGTACTTTCTTAGATTCACTTTTAGTCAAAGGAATCTGCAAAGGAATTTTACGATAAGACTTTGATTTTTTCCTGCACATAGTATGAATAAGAAAAACCGAACACGTAAATGAGATAAGAAAAATGGAGCAGCAATGCAACGTCACTGATATAAAAACGAAGACGTTCCGAAACGCGGAAATACCTGTTGAGAACCTTCTCCTTTCAAGTTCATGAAGACTTGGCAAGCGTTGAAAGACTTCCGTGCCATCGGAAGGGAAGTTTCGAATCAAGATGCAACGACGATGTTCGCAAAGTTCAGAACCATGGAACTATCGCAAACGAGCTAAGACCTCGATTACCCAGACTCGATTCTAGATTCGATTTGATCTTCAATAGTTTCACGAACGATTCCTGCATTCCTTGAACTCTGATTATTCTACTGTACATTCCTATGTCTTTCGCTAGACTTTCGTTGGTTAAGCCACTTGTATCGCTTTCTGTATGCAAAACTTTCAAATAGAAGAAAAGCAAGGTATCGCTATTTCGATGAAATTGTTTAGAATATTAGGAGTGTGAAAAATGGAAAAAAATTTAGAGGTATTACTTTTGAATGCTGAAGTAGACGAAGTTGCTAGGTGAAATAGTTTATATTGAAATTGTTGAACACTCTTTACCGTTTAAAGGAAAATAATGGAACCCAGGCGCTAGAATAAAGAACGATTCTAAAATATATTTAATGAAAATTTGGTTACAAGATGATGATGACAAATTAAAACGGATTGAGCGCACTTATAAATACGTACTACGAAATTTTTGTTGGAAATTAGTTGTAGTATCGATTTCCGGAGCTTGTCCAGACTTAAATGTGAACACCCTGTATACAGGGTGTCCCAAAAGTCGGGGAGGAGCCGGAAATGGGGGGTAGCTGAGACGATTCTGAACAACAATTTCCTTTGCAAAAATGTCGGATGGGGCTTCGTTAAGGAGATATTAAGCAAAAACCCCGACCAATCAGAGCGCGCGTTGATAGCCGCGCCTGTACGCGACAAGTGACCTCGACGTACATCGAAGGACATTGACGCTGCCGCCTAGCGCGTAGCCTACGCTACCGCGGCCGCTCGAACGGTCTACGCGCGCTCTGATTGGTCGGGGTTTTCTCTTAATATCTCCTTAACGAAGCCCCATCCGACATTTTTGCAAAGGAAACTGTTGTTCAGAATCGTCTCAGCTACCACCCATTTCCGGCTCCTCACTTTTGGGACACCCTGTATATATTTTAAACACTTACTTTAATTATTTTACAAATTTTAGTGTCCTTTATAACTGTTTAAAAAACTTTTTATGAACATATACCATTACGTTCAACTTTTCGTTTCTAATTTATAATTTTTAGTTTTTAGTTTAGTTCCTAAACCGAAGTCTTGACGAGCATACTCAAACCCTAGAATCACACGAAATACGACAGTTTATCTCGGTATCCACCGATTCCGTTGGCTGGAATACTGGATAAACGTATTTACGTCCGTCCAACGATGTGATGTTCGTCTGAACCTGTTGCGAAACGTTGACAAGCATACTCAAACCCTAGAATCACGCGAAATACGACAGTTTATCTCAGTATCCATCGACTTCGTTCCAAAGGGTTTTCCAAAGGGTTCTTCAGGATTTTGTTTTTTCTCTTATTTTTGTTGCTGCTACTGTTATGCAGCAATTCCGAATCACTATTCCGAGTGACTCATGTCGCATACAGAAGCAATGTCACGAAGGTTAATACTATTCTATTTTTCCCATTGCTATTCGGAAGTCTGAAATATTTAAAAGCATGGGGGTGGTAAAGTTGTGCTTCGCAGTGTAGGTGTTAGCATTCACGACCATGGTGAGCAGCGAGTCAGAATTCCAACGGGCGACTTACGACAGCGGGTGTCCGTTTGAATTTACTTATCGCGTCGGAGGACACAGCAACGCTCGCTGTGTTTAATCTCATCGCGGTCAGACTCGCCGCGAGAAAAAGGAAGGTAAAACGGCGTACCTTTCCGCAAATATGTCTACCCTTTGTACGCGGCGATCCTTTTACTTCCCTCTCTCCGTGTTTGTTGTCTTCTTTTTCCAGTAAACCTCCCATTTCTTTATCAGCATTTTCCCCAATTCCTCTAGCTAGCCTTTTTCCATAACCGTGTTTGCTACCTTCCTTCTCCTTTTTTCTTCCCCACCTCCCCTCTTTCGTGTCCCACTTTTCTTTGATCATTTTTACCATCCGTTTCGTTGGATTTCCTTTGTTCGTCGAGTTTCACGCGCCAACGCGTGTCCTTCCTTCTTGTATTAATTAATCCTTGGCATTCTTTCGTCACCTTTTTCCCGTGTAAAATTCCTTCGTTCTCGCATTCCTCCCATTTTGTGGTCATTAATTAATTTTCCTCATTTCTTCATTTTTCGTCCAACTTTCACTGGTTTTGTCATGGTTGAGCAGCTTTCCACGGTTTCCTTTTTTTTTTTTTTTTTTGGAAAAGCGATTCACCGCAGCCACTGCGTTGGATCGTTAATTTTTCATCGACCGCCACACCGCAGGCGCACGGTAATTTTTAGTGCCTCGCGCGAAACAAACGAGATTTACCGATTTTTTCGCCGAGCACTCAATTTGCTGCCGTTTAATGAGCTTGATATAATTACGTACTTTCGAAACGGTTTAGGCGTCGAACTTCGGTGCTTTAATTCTATCGCGGTGCCATCC